TGGTGTGCAGTGGTAGACCATCTTAAACCAGAAATATACTAGTTTAAAGTGGTTAAAGGGATAGTTCAACAAAATTAATAGATTTGGTGCTGAATTTGTGCTTCTTGGTGGTTCAGAAAATGCAAGTCAATGACTATCAGCAGTTAAAATAAAAGAACTAGTCAATTAAAAACGGAAACTACCCCATAATTTACTCACCCTCACACATCCTCAGTGTATATGACTTTCTTTTGTCAATCGTCTGTCTATATGACTTTATTTTGTTATTCGAATACATTTGGAGAAGTTGTACATGTTATCCTGGCTGGTTACTATGCTGGTTTAAGGTGGTGGACCATCTTGAACCAGAAATATACCACCTTAAAGTGGTTAAAGGGATAGTTTACCAAAATAAACAGATTTGGTGCTGAAATTGTACTACTTGGTGGTTCGGAAAACGCAAGTCAATGACTATTACCACATAAAATAAAAGAACCAGTCAATTAAAAATGGAAACTATCCCAAAATTTACTCACCCTCAAGACATCCTTAGAGTATATGACTTTCTTTTGTCATGCGAATACAGTTGGAAAAGGTTTACATGTTATTCTGGCTGGTTACTGTTCTGGTGTAAGGTGGTAGACCATCTCATATCAGAAATATACTAGTTTAAAGTGGTTAAAGGGATAGTTCAACAAAATTAATAGATTTGGTGCTGAATTTGTGCTTTTTGGTGGTTCAGAAAATGCAAGTCAATGACTATCAGCAGTTAAAATAAAAGAACTAGTCAATTAAAAACAGAAACTACCCCATAATTTACTCACCCTCACACATCCTCAGTGTATATGACTTTCTTTTGTCAATCGTCTGTCTATATGACTTCATTTCGTCATTCGAATACATTTGGAAAAGTTGTACATGTTATCCTGGCTGGTTACTATGCTGGTATAAGGTGGTGGACCATCTTGAACCAGAAATATACCACCTTAAAGTGGTTAAAGGGATAGTTTACCAAAATAAACAGATTTGGTGCTGAAATTGTGCTACTTGGTGGTTCGGAAAACGCAAGTCAGTGACTATTACCACATAAAATAAAAGAACCAGTCAATTAAAAATGGAAACTATCCCATAATTTACTCACCCTCAAGACATCCTTAGAGTATATGACTTTCTTTTGTCATGCGAATACAGTTGGAAAAAGTTTACATGTTATTCTGGCTGGTTACTGTTCTGGTGTGCAGTGGTAGACCATCTTAAACCAGAAATATACTAGTTTAAAGTGGTTAAAGGGATAGTTCACCAAAATAAACAGATTTGGTGCTGAAATTGTGCTATTTGTTGGTTCAGAAAACACAAGTCAATGACTATTAGCACTTAAAATTTAAATAAATGTCCATTCAAAATAAAAATGACCCCATAATTTACTCACCCTTAAGCAATCAAGTGTACTGTATATGACTATAATTTGTCAGTTGAACACAGTCGGAAAAGTTTTACATGTTATCCTGTTTGGTTTCTATGCTGGTGTAAGGTGGTGGACCATCTTGAACCAGCCTTTTTTGTTGACAAGAAAAAAAAGAAGCGTAGTGGTCTTTTTTTAATGTCACTAGGCAATGACTGAATCATCTGCAAATTGTGCGTGAGTGTTGCTGTCGACGTAGTTATAATTGTAATATTATATATGACTTTCTTTTGTCAGATGAATACAGTCGGAATAGTTTTATCCTGGCTATCCATGCTATATAATGATGATGCATAGTGAGATTTATTTTGAAGCTTCCAAAAAAAATGTTACAAAAAAAAACAACAACAATATATGCCTCCAGGGCATTAGCTCATGTCTTATGAAGCTGACTGATGTGTTTTTGTTATAGAATTATTCACATTTCTTTAAAATTATACTCTCCAATTTTATGTCACTGATACAAAAGTCAACTACTGTACATCTTTAACTCTTTGAATAACATACCAACAAACTTTGTATTATTTCTAGGTGAACCGTCCCTTTAAGATGGCTTTTGCAACACAGTGGCTGATGTCAGCCATGCTGCGCTAATGGCCAGCTTGGATTTACCAGATACAAACACCCACAGCTGCTAGCTTAAAGCTGGATATTCCAACAGGCAGAGTCCTTTTGTTCCACACACACTACATTTTCACAGTTTATTATACCTTGGTCACCTTTAGTGGCTGATGGATATCAGCTACACACATATTTTCACACATACTTCATCTCCCCTTGCGGATTTCTTGGTCTTATAGATTTAAGAAAAATAACGTGTCGCGTTTGCTTGTGCTAAACTAGCTAGGACGAATGCCAGGAGGTTGCTAGGAGGTTCCAGAGTTTTTTTAATGAGTTGCTATGCAGTTACCAGGTAGTTTTATAGGAAATCCTACTGTTTTAAACGAAAATATGCCACAAATCTCACATTTTCAGCTTTAAAGATAGGGATTTGGTGCTTAATTGAATGTGTTTTCACACAATTTGTATTACTTTTAGGTTAAAAATTAAATAATATACTAAAGTACAGAATTTGTTCAAACCCCAAGTCAAGTATAAATAATAGTATAAGCACAGATACTATCATTTTCTCTGACAGAAAATGCACTGTCAAGGGAAAAGAGAATGACTGAGTGAAAGGAAAATGGGAGAGAGAGAGAGAGAGAGAAAGAGAGAGAGAGAGAGAGAGAGAGAGAGGGAGAGAGAGAGAGTGAGAGAGGGAGAGAGAGAGAGAGAGAAAGAGAGAGAGAGAGAGAGAGAGAGAGAGAGAGAGTGAGAGAGGGAGAGAGAGAGAGAATGAAGGTTAAAGCGAAGTGTCTGGGTCAGACACAACGGCATGACAACTGCAATAAATGTAAATAAAAGAGCTTTGTGTGGTAATTCAGTCCACCCGACAGAGGCTCTGCGCATAAATCAACCTTACACTCACACACTCCCTCTTTGACACATACACACATATTTCTCTATGCAGAAATCATTATTTGTCACCACACATACACATGTATCCACTTTGTCCAACAGAAAAAAATAGACAAAAACAAATGATCCCATCAAAATAGTGCATGTGAACCGAATGCAGTGTACAAAAAAATGTTAACCACAACCATATCAAAATTTCAATCATACTTCAATCGCTCCCCCTCCATCTCAACTGTCAAAACGCGACCCAAATAAAATGTAGGCCAATGCAGTGTTTAACTGGCCTGAGGTGATAGACAAACCACTGAACACTATTCACTCTTCATTTATATGTACCAGGAAGTCACTGTGAGTGGCATGATTTTCCCTTTTTGTACTAGAGTCAACTTACAGGCTTCATCTACAGTTTATTAAACTCGAATCAATCCCCAGTGATTAATCCAGGCAAATATAGCTCCTATGAAACACCACAATATTGTGTTTCAGAAAAATGTGTAACATTATCCGTTTACCTCTTAGAGAAAGACTGTGGCTGCGTCTAAAGTATGTGAACCGAGTAGTATGTCTGTATTCAAAGAATTGGAAAAACAGTATGTGAGAAGTACCCGAAAGACCTACTACTTCCTGTGAGATTCTGAAGTGCGCATGGAATGGACGCTATACTACCCCATGATGCACCGCAGGGGAATTCATGAATGGGAGTAAAGTGACGCAACTGACACAGGTAGATCATGGGATGACAAAGTGGCAGATGTAGTATGTCCTAGTTCAGGGATGGGCAAACTTGATCCTTGAGGGCTGGCGTCCCTGCAGAGTTTTGTTCCAACACTAGTCAAACACACCTGAACAAGCTAATCAGTGTCTTCAAGATCACTAGAATCTATAAGCAGGTGGTTTTGATTAGAGTAGGAGCTAAACTGTGCAGGACACCGGCCTTCCAGGACCGAGTTTGCCCACCCCTGTCCTAATTCAATGCATACTACTCACATTCAGTTGGGTGGTCGGAGTTTTATAGGTTGCTAGGCAGCCAATCGTTTTCTCAGAAGATAGCAAGCTGTCACTCTGATACAAATTTAATTTAAAGACAAAATTACAAAGCACTACAGTGTTTGGCTGTTCTTTGTTTGACTGAGATAATTAGTCTACCGAAATGTGTATATCTGATACATGCTGAACAGTCAGTTCTGTGCGATCCTCGCGGCATTCATTGAACTGGTGCGTCTGGAAGGTGCGAGTGCGTCACGCTGCTTGTGCGTACACCTTCATTGGAAATAAAAAATTTGTGCAAACTTTAGAAAAGATGCGATATGCGAACAGCCCCTAAAAGGACACCGTCATTTTCTCCAGCTGTTGCACAGACATGCTGGATCCACCTGATTTGTTTACAAATGGTTTGAGGATGCATTCCTTGGGAGTTTGCGGGGCCTTCACTGGACATTTTCCCATTAGCAAAGACATTTTCCAGTTAGACTGTATCTTACTCTTTATGTGGGTTAAATTTGGGGGTTCAGGTGACTAAGATGTGAAGCGAGAGAATACTGTAATTTTTCAAAGTATAAGCTTTTTCAAAATAAAAGATCGCTCGGACTCCAATTATAAATAAAACGGAAATAACAATGATTTCTTGTGTGGCCTGATACCAATTGACCCAAGAACCTATACCGATCTGTGGCCAGGTGGTTGAGGACCACTGGTATAGATCTTACCTTTCTAACGGTCGGGTAGTACAATTTAATTCAATTACTTTACTTACTGTATAAAACCATGCAGCTTTTTTGTAGTAAGTTTTTTTTTTTCCGGCAAGCAGCATTTACAGTAGTGAACCTATAATCGTCTAAAGCAGTACAGTGTCATCTTACAAGATTGTATACTACAATAGTGTAATTTCAGCCATCTGTTGGTATATGATCCATTATTTGTTATTTTGTAAATAATATTTTTCAAGTATCAACAGTTGAAATTTAATCCATAAAGTATTATTGACAGTTCACCTAAAGTAATAATGTTCTGTTTAGGCTTCAGTAAAATGCTTTACCTAATTGCAGCCATCAACTATCAGCATTATCACTACAATTAGAAAAAAAACTCAACCAGCACATACCTGTTTCTTCGTCAATGGTAAATCTTCCAAGACCACTGCCATCACGTATCGAATACTGCACTTCACCATCTCTCCCCGTGTCATCGTCCCTTGCAGAGACCTGGAGTACAGAAGTTCCAATCCGAACACTTTCCTTTACTGATCCATTCATGGCGAAACTTGAGAAATATGGTGCATACAGGTTCTCGTTGACATCCACCACCTCCAGTTCAACAAAGCTAACTGATAGGAGGGACACAGGTCGACCTTTATCCTTTGCCCGCACTGTTAGGTTGAAAAACTGTTGAGTTTCGTAATCCAGCTCCTTGGTAAGACGAATTGCACCACTTGTCTTGTCAACCTCGAAACGACCATCATAGTCATTATCAAGTAAGTACCGGACCTGCCCTCCAAGTCCCAGATCAGGGTCTTGAGTGTCCAGCCAGGCGATTACAGTGCCCACTGGGAGGTCTTCAAGTGCACGGGCGTTGGCAACACTTGGGATGAAAGCAGGTGGACAATCGTTAACATCCTCAAGTGTGATTTTAAGAGTTGTAATTGAAAATCGTTGGGCTGCTCGTTCTGCTCTGTCTCGTGCTTCCACTTTTAATATGAACAATGGAACCAACTCACGGTCCAGCTGACCTGCAACATACACAATCCCACTGGAGCTGTTAATGCCAAATTGGGAGGTGCTGGTTAGCAGAGAATACTGGATCTCTCCATTAAGACCTTGATCTTTGTCAGTAGCCTCTACTTGAATGACTTCAGTACCAATCGGAGTGTTTTCAGAAATGCGAGCATGATAGCCACCATCCTGAAGAAACTGTGGTGCGTTGTCATTTGCATCTGCTATGTAAACTGTAAGAAGCCGCCAGGTGGATCTTTGCGGTTGGCCTAAATCATACAGCGTAATGTTTAAAAGATAGCGGTCAGTTTTTTCACGGTCAAGAGGGAGGAAGATGCTAATTACACCATTCAGAATTCCAATACTAAAACAACTATCTGTGTTGCCGTCAGCAATGGCATGTAAAAGCTGTCCATTAAACCCAGTGTCTCCATCAAGGGCTTTTACCTGAAACACACTTGTACCAACTTCTACATCCTCACGCACAGTGATGTCTGTTGGGAAGGATTTGTCAAATTGAGGAGTTTGACGGTTCACAGAGAACAGGTCAATAAAGCCTTCGTCCATTTTGGGCTTACTGCTAGCTTTGGCTTTCTTCAGAAGTTTCTCTGCCAGTCGTTGGGCTACTCTGGTTTCGGTACAACTAAAGCTCTTGGGTGGTGACTTCCCTTGCACTACAGATATGTTTACAAACATAGGATCTGAAAAGTGTTCTCCATCGGTGGCAGTAATTTTTAGACTGAATGAGTTTTTGGGTGCTGCGGTGATGAGGGAGTGACGTAATGTCATGACGCCAGAGTCAGGATTTAACTCAAAGTACCCTCGCTCATTCCCAGAGAGGATCTTATATTTGACTAGCTCAAGCTCATCAATATCTATGGCAGATATTGTGGCAATTACCTCACCTACTGGGAGTTCTCGGGAGACAACACCAACGCAAGCTACTTTCTCAAAGAGGGGTTTGTTATCATTAACATTTTCAAGATGCACAGTGATGTTGACTTCACTCTCACGCCTATATGGAGAACCCCAGTCAGAAGCACGAACCACAAAACTAAAACTCTCAAGAGATGATTCAAAGTCTAGCTCCTGTGTTGTGGTTACTGCTCCGGTGAACTGCTGCACGCTGAATGGTAATGGTGTCAAGCTAGCCATACTGTATGTGATGTACCCATTTTCCCCATGGTCATCATCCGAAGCAGTCACCACAACAACAGTAGTGCCTACAGCTACACTTTCATTGACAAATACTTCATAAGATTGTTGGGCAAATGATGGTGCATTATCATTAGCATCTTCAAGAATGACTTTAACCTTGACCCTAAGATCACTGTCGACTTCTAAGACCTCTAACTCAAATACTTCCTGCTTGAGTTGGGTGAGCCAGCGTGCTGTGCTAATCACGCCTGTCATAGTGTTGATACTGAAAAACCCTGAATCAGCAGATGGGGTCAGGATGTACTCAGCGTCATCAGGCTCTGGCTGGAGTTTTACAGCCTCCACAATAGTTCCGGGAGGGGCAACCTCACTCAAGAGGACCTCGTATTGATCCTTCTGAAAAGTGACTTCTACAGGGGGTGGTCTTGATAATCGTAAGTGTACTATTTGCACAGCAGATAACTTCTGAGGTGTTCCACGATCTCGAGCCTGCAAGCTGAGGTTTAGTCCAAATGGATAGCTGTCCCAGTCAAACTGCTCCATTGCACGAAGTACAAACTCGTTAGATCCTTTCATACTGTCTTCCTCATCCACCATTTCTTGACTTGGCACATCTGTCCTTTCAATGCTGAATAGCTCAAGAAGATCCCCAGCCACAATGCTCACTGTCTCAATCTCTCCATTCTTCCCTTCATCCAGATCTTCTACGGTGACCACAGCTATGATGGGGGACTTTTCAGTCCATACCGGAGCCAATGTAACAATACTTAAAGTGGGTACATGCTCGTTAATCCGTTCTACATGAACAAAAAGTTTTGCTGTACTGCTTACACCATTATTCCCATATAGTTTCATCCCCCGATCCACAGCCTGGATCTCAAGATCGTATCGGCTTTGAATGTCCACGTCCAGCTTTCCACTTAGAGAAACAACTCCACTAGTTGGGTGCACAGCGAACAGCTCCATTCGCTCCTTGAAAAAGTAATAGAACTCTCCATTTGATCCTATATCAGCATCCGTGGCAGTGACCTGAGCTATGCTGGTACGCAGGGGTGTGCTTTCTGCAATGGTAACCGAATACGTAGTCGGGGAGAAAAGAGGACGAAGGTCATTCATATCCAATACCTGCACACTAACTTTAGTCCAGGCCTCGAGTGTATCACCCTTTAGGGAAGCTTTCACTGTTAACACGTAGTTGTCCTGAACCTCACGATTCAAGATGGCAGCATTCCCCCCTTTAGTTCGTATCCGCAGGAAGCAGAAGTCACCCAGAGTGTATTCCTCAGCCTTGAAGAATCCTTCCTCGTCCCCAGAGGTGATGCGGTACCTCACCTCCCAGGAGTGATGTTGGAGCGGGATGCCCATGCGCACCTGGCTGGAGGCATAGGTGCGGGCGGCTGAGTTCTCATAGACTGACGCATGGTACAGTGGTTGAGTAAACTGCAGGCGGAACCTTTCGCCTTGGCAGTGCCCTGGAGGCACAGTAAAGAATAGCAAGAGGGCCAGTTGTAGGAGAATGGCCCATATGCCTGCCCAAAGGGCCATGCTCACTGCCATCCCATCACCAAACCCATCCTGGAAACAGAGAGAGAGAGAGAGAAGGAGAGAAATGCATTAGACAAGAGTAGATGTCATGACAATACACAACCTGACCTTTCATACCTAAAGGTGAGAGGTCACCAGTAATCGGTTAAAATGATCAAACACAAGCAGAGGAAGTCTTTTACCACAGAGGGAATGGTAGCCAGGCAACCACTAACCAAATGACATCACTACTCATGTCTCAAAACGGACACCGACACACAATTACATACTACAGAAAAACCAGGAGGATGCAATTCAGGAAAATTCACTTGCACACACACTCTGCACAGAAGAAAATACAGCCGGAGAATGCAAGTCAGGAACAAAATAATTACAGAGAACGAAAGATCAAAAATATAACCCGTGAAAACGAACACACACACATACACACACGTTATATGACATGGTTTTAAAAAAAGCTCTCGAGAAGTTACAAAATGTTGTGGAATCAGCAATACTGGTTATGATAAAGTGCTGCAGTAGAGGAAGTCTGTGTGTGTGTGGGTTTACTTAACTATCCATGGCCAAACAAAATTGTCCCTAGTAGTTACTCAAATCTTATAGACCCTCTGGGGGCCTAAAAAAAAGCTTTATACAACAAGAGGGTTTAGGTACGTGTTTGTAAGTTTATGGTTGCACATCTGTTAGTGTGGTAAATCAACTTATTTTAGACACTGGTTGTTTTGTGTGTGCCTTGCAGGATGGTTAAGATCTGTTCCAGTCCACAAAAATGCAATGCTGACCTTACCATGTACACACACTTTATCCAACTTTGCCCACACAAAAACACACAAGCATACACAAAATACACACACACACACACACACACACACACACACACACACACACACACACACACACACACACACACACACACACACACACACAAAGAATGGAGTTGCTGTGGTCAGCCCACACATGACTCAGCACACACATACACACACACTAATACATTCCATCTCTAATGATATCCTTTAGCAGACTCACCAACACGGTCTCACAAATTGGAAAAGACACACACATAGAGAGAGTATTCAAAATTGCAGAGATCAGCTTATTTTATTTCTCCGGGTCTATTTCTCTCAGCTTCTCACTCCGTCACACTCTTGTTCTCTTTCTTTGTGTCCACATACACACACACAGACAGACTGTCAGATTAAAACCAGCAGGCATTTTGGAGCAGTCAAGGTTCAGTACGCAAACAGCGTCTTGTCTCCCCTAAAGCCTTGTTTAGACTGACCAAATCTCCGGCTCAGCTGGCCAGAGACATTAAACATCACAAAAAAACAACACACACCGCAAGGCCAACACAAACACCACAGTCTATAAACTTATACACACCATCGAATACACCTAGCTAAAAACATTTTTGGACTTTCCATTGTGGTTACTCTCATATTAAAAGGTCACAACTTTAGTTGAAAAGGTCACTTTCGAATAATGCTACGCTAAAAACAAACATTTTCCTTCAGCTTAGTCCCTTATTTATCAGGGGTCACCACAGAGGAACGAACCGCCAACTGTTCCAACATATGTTTCACACAGCAGATGCACTTCCAGCTGCATCTACTTCCCAGAGCAGGCCCGGCGCTACGGGGGGGCAAAGGGTGGCATTGCCCCCTCAGACAGAGTTTGTGCCCCCCCAGTTTTTATAAAGGATTGTTCACTCAAACTGAAAATTCTTTCTGTCATTAATTATTAACACTCCCGTCCTTCCAACCTTCAGAACACACATTTAAATATTTTAAAATATATGACATAGCAATTAAATTATGAAAATGGTGAGGTTAAAGCTAGTCCTATAGTCCAGAGATCCGGTCCCCGCGTCAGGTCTGGTGCGCCAGTAAATAGCCTTTAAAACGCGCACACGGCGATGGAGGCGCACTCAACTCACAAGGGAGAAAATGGGTGACATGATAGGAGCAGCTTAATTCATTACATGTTTTGGTTAACTAATTATTTAAACACAACTCTCTTGAGCTCTAAAAGGAAAAAACACATAAGAAATTTGCTGTTAAATTAATTTTAGCAGAGACGCAACTGCCAGTCATTTATTAGTTATTCGGGAAGATGTAGCCTAATAAAAATGTTTTAATAAAATAAATAGTTTACTGCACAGTCCCACAGTAGGCTACACTATAAATAATATTTTAATTTATTTATTAATATTATTATTAATATTATTACAATTAAGCTAAAATTGACAAAACGCAGAACCCTTTGAATGTTTGCTTTCATTTTGCTGAAAAGTGCACTTTTACAGTTGCGTAGAGAAACATCCCATTATGCAACTGCAGTCAAGGTATAACACATAATAAATGCATTTTGCGTTTAAAGATGATCGGCCTGCGAAGTCAAGTTTGCAGTGTTATAAATGGAATAGGTATAGTGCTTAAGTGGATTTACCCCGGATCAACCGAGAAATCTCGTGCGCTGCAGGTAGGCAGAATGATAATCTTTTAAAAATACGTAACATAGGCTATACTGCTATTTGCTCATGCAAAATTAAACAACATAAAATATATTGTAGATCTGTTTTAAGAGCTAAAATACAACATATCGAGTTTGTTTTGACTTAGCTCATGGCCCTAAAATGAAAATAACCTGAAAACAAGCTATTAAAAAAGGCCTAATAAATAAAATAATTAATAAATAAAATGACGGGTAGGCCTAGAAACTATGGTACATATGGTTTATGATGGTTTACAATATCACGAAAAAAGCACATTTATAATAGCCTTAGACAAATCTTTGTTTTTACATTTAAAATGATGAAAAAAAAGTTATATAGCATATAAAAATTTAACCAATTTTCACGGTAATAACTGTGAATTTTTGTATCTTTTTTAGGTATTTTTCGGCTACACTAATGCCTTAAAATGTAATTGTTTTGAATGACATTAGATTGTCACATTTAGCTTTTCCCCAACACTGATGTTGGTTGTGAAGCGTGATGACTCGGTTAAGCTGATTTCACTATATTTATTTACCGGTTAAATGAATTGTCTGATCGTGGGTCAGCTTGCATGTGTGGGCATAATTTGACGTCTTTACCTAAAACTTTAAACATTCATAGGGCTGTTATTTGAAATAAAACGGAAATAAGGAGAATAACATATGATTTAAAGCACTCGTTTGGCACTGAAGCTATCATCCGTCTGCATTAATAAGCGGTATGCATTACCATCGTTAATAAAATTCGTAATAGCAAAACTGCGTATTGTTATTACTTTTAAAACGTAGCCTATATTACTGCCTTAGGTCAGTAACTTAGGCAGTAATGCAAAGTAATAATAAATGCGAATAAATAGCCTAAATGAAAGAAACAAGAGACCAAAATCAGTCACCAGGTCTAGTGCCCCCCTATGGATTTAAAGTGCCCCCTCAGTTTTGACTTCCTGGCGCCGGGCCTGTCCCAGAGTAAAGTGGACACTATACTGTCAGTGAGTGCCGTCTTTCGGATGAGACGTTAAACCAAAGTCCTGACTCCCTGTGGTTGTTAAAATTCACATGGCACTTCTCGTAAAGAATAGGGGTGTAACCTCTTTGTCCTGGCCAAATTCCCTTCATTGGCCAATACCGCCTGCCAATCATCCACATCCACTGAATTGGCTCTATCACTGTTTCTCCACTCCTCCAATAGCTGGTGTTTGGCGAGTGCCGTTGTCTTGTGGCTGCCGTCGCATCATCAAAGTGGATGCTACACACTGGTGGTGGTGTGGAGAAATCCCCCTCATGATTGTGAAGCACTTTGGGTGTATGGCCATACACAATAAATGCACTTTTGTTACGGTTGTAGGTTTGTGTGCACCCCTGAGTGTCTGTTTTGGTCACATGGTTTTGTTTTGGTGTTCTACGTGTATCTTTTATGTCAGTGTTATGTCTCCTGCTATGGCAGAGCTTATGCTGTCCTGATTAGCCAGCCGGCTGCGGCTCGTTATCTCTGCTATATCTGGACAGCGCTCTTCTTGTCAGTTGGTTGTTGGTTGTTCATGTGTTTCTGTCTGTTGTCAGGACTGATCAGCTACTCTGGTTCCACAGTCTGACTCCCGTTCCCGACTAAGTGTGACCACACCTAGTACCTTTGTTTTGTTTATTTCTGTTTGCACTTTTCCCCTTGTTATATTGACTCAGTCAATAAAGTTTAACTTGCAATTTTGTTACTCATTTATACCAGTGAAAACAATATAAAGCCTTTTTTAAACCTGCCAAGTGGGGACCTTCATTAACTGCAATGATATTGAGTGTAGAAACACACAAACAACATACAACCCCTAAAGATGTGTACATATTCAAAATACTTTGTATGAGATTTAGGATGGAGACCTCATGGAGACCACAAAAATGACCCCTACAAGGTCAAAATGTACTGGTATTTCTATACTTATGGGGACATTTGCACCCCATGACTTAAGGAATACAAAGCGCGCACACGAACCCACACACTCATTAACTACAAAGATATTCCCTCGAAACACTATCAATATAAAGCCATTATCCACATAAGCGCAAAACATTATCAACACATGAAGCCATTATGACAAGCCGTTGTCAATACAATTGAACACTACATTGACTATGACACCAATTTTCCCCCAACAAGTCACGCAAGCACATCTAAACCACATGTACTGCCAACAACGCTCTGCAAAACACTGTTAACAAAACACGTACGACTCATTCACCTATGACAAATACACACTCCAGAGTGAAACTGCACGTAAAAGGTCACGCTTTGGGTTTTCTTTTCTAATGGAAAGTGTTTATCGGATGATATTTTGTTATCTGCAAACCGCAATATAATCCATTCACTGGCAGCTCTGCGTTTAGGAAGAGCCGTCTCGCTCCACTGCATTCCAATGTGTGTGTGTGTTTGTTGGTTTGTTACGTGACGGACAATCCAATATTCCGAGTAACAGACAGGAAGTGATGTAGAACAAAGAAAGCACATTTCCATAACAGAGGGAATGCTAAATGACAAGGGTGTGCGT